AACGTAACTATTTATTTTTCACTAACTTTAGAAATTAGATTTTTATGTAGGTACCTTATCCAATTATGTAATATAATGTTATAGGTAAATTGTAAAATGTGGTTCAGAATACCCTGCTCAAATTCAACCAAATTCGATTCTATACCTTTACAATTTTAAAAAAAAAATGTTTATAATTACATATTTCGGAATTCAGTTTGAGTTAGTAATTAATATTATGTGTCTCAAGTACCTATAGTATAAAAGATTATATTATATGTACAATCTACATCATACATTATATGTTAAGTAGTTTTATCAGAAGGTACATAATATAGACAATTAAATTAGTAGATATTATAATTTTTTTCGACAATTATATAGATATGTATTCGCATTGATATTTAATTACAATAAGGATGAGAAGATTATTATGTAGTTTCAAATTTCCAAGTCATAGGTACATGAGGAACGTTCTCTAACTATATGACCTCACTTAGTGTACCAATCTAATTATTATAAGGTTTAATTTTTAATTGATTGCAGGTTAAAATAAAACGTTATGATAAAATATGTTACGTGTTTATATATTTAGCCGAACTATCTCTAATGTTTGATAATATCTATCATATTATAGATCTTTAAGTGTAAATTTCCAAGTTGTTTGTAAATATTTTTTTGGCTTTCAGATTACAATTTATAAAATTAATGTTTTTGTTTATTTTAATTTTTATACAATACCTAATGAAACAATGGAGTAACTGTAGAAATATGTATTGGGATTAGGTGGTGATAGCTTAGTTTTAGCCCTATTGGAGTAGGTAGGTTAAGTAGAGTGGTTAAGTTAGGGTAGGTACTTATTTTATATACTTAGCTTGTTCTATTGTTTCATATTTTCAATTTATTGTATTTTTGTTCACGAAAATTTAAAGTTATTAATGAGTTAGGTTGGGTTAGAGTGGGCGATCTGATACACTTTGGATGACTTAGGGCAATACACCCATCGTCAGATCTGATGAGTTTGATGAATTAGATAATAGACTTGGCTCGGCCTGTGTAATTTACGAATCAGTCTTGTAGTCTGGTGGCACAAGTTTCATACTTTGAACGGGTATGTCGGATAATAACAACTGATTATCTAATATAGCATAAGATAAACAGTAATAATTATAGTCATATTGGGGGGTCAGTCGAGATTCGTGGCCGTCACTGTTATGGACAGTATACTGATTGTTATTGAGTTATTATTTTAAATTAACATATACATTTTAATTAAGGCGTCGAGTAGCATAGGGCCGTTGGTTTGGTTACACCATGTTTTTCGCTAATTTATCATTTATTGAAAGTATGAAAGCGTAGTATACTCAAATAAACTTATAAGCAGTTACCATTAATTTCTTCAACAAATATTGTTGAGTTCAAATTATCGCTGGATTCAAAAATAACTAAACAGTTATTAATTATTTTGTATCAAACAATTTCATGGCAATTTACTTTGAAAATGTGCATGCATAAAATTTTAATTACATTTTCAATTAAACAATATAATTGTCCGCTTGTTTATATATGCACGATATATTATAATAGTTTTAATTTATTTTGAGTTATTATTAGCATTTAAATATAAATAACTTGGTAAATATTATTTTAAATCTTAACGTCTAACAAAAAACATTACAGTTAAAAAATGATTCTGAAGAGAGCTCAAGTTAACCAAAAATGGTCAAGATTTTAAAATCTTGTCAGGCATGGGAGTTTATTTATATTTTTCTACCACTTTTTTTCAAAGACGAAAACTACGTATCTGTGAACTACCCCCCTCCACCCTGATTTGTCAAATCGATTAAAAAAATTGACCAATTTTGTATTTTGTACCTTGTTCATAAGCTAAGAACCAAAAAAATTGGTAAATAATTGCCAAAAAATTGTAAAATTCACCAAATAACAAATTAATTATTTGAAAAATATTGACACATTCATTTTATCATATAGACTGAGTTGGAACTACGTGAATTACCCCCCCCCCTGAAATGTAGGGCCAACCTAACAGATATGAAATATAGATAATTATATATTTACTTACTTAATAATGTACGATTACCATTAATATTATTATTATACAAGTGTACTTATCAAAAGTAATAGTAAGAAAAAAATTTAGAAAAAAAACTGAGGTATGTAAATTACTATAGATAATTATTAACAAAAATATATTTTAATACCGGTATGCTATGATTTGACGTCAAAGCAAGTATATTTTAACGAATGATTCACAATTTAGTCATGTTTATCTCAGACTAATATTTTGATAAAATATCAATGGGAATATTATTTTTATTTGTGGTTTGGTTCTAATCGGGGTTCTAATTATTAAAATTGTACTTAATATTAAATGAAGAATTTAATTTAAATCATATTGTGTAGGTGCTAGGTACCTTAATTGTGATGGGTTATACTTTATCATATAGAAATAATAAGAATGTGTATGGAAACATGTAGTTTTTTTAAAAACTTGTCATTATTGTTATATAATAATTATTAACTTGTGTGTAGACGATGTTCATGGCACGAATGAAATGTATGTATTTAATAACAGAGGAATAACTCCACCTTCCTACAAAAAAGGTCTGAAAAATTGTTATTCACCAAGTATATCCCATTATATATGTATACAGTTGGTGGTGTTTATTTTAAAAGTCGTATTGCTATAATTATTATAGTGTTATATGTATTTACTATTTATATATATTTTTTGTTTTAATTCTGCATCAGCAGCAGCGTTTATATTTACTGCGGTCGTTCGTCAATAGGTGGAGCGGTGCGGTTTCTCTCTTGCTCTCCGTCTTCCCCGGTCATCGTCTATATTATAAAACGAGCAAATCGTTGAGAAGCAGTAAGGACAACCCTTTGAGTTGGAAGAAAAAAACGATGAAGAGGATAATAATAATAATAATAAAAATGTGACTTTATACATAATAAAACATACATAAGCCGGTGCCGCGAAGGATTTTTACACGGTTTCCGTCCCCTCTCACTGGCTGGTCGCTCTCATTATCTTTCTCTCTCACTCTCTCCCGGGCCGACGCACACTACTTGCTATCTAAAAAAGGCCAGTAGTAGTTGGAGTTATCTCGTCCGGTCACCGCCGCGTCACACTCTCCCACTCCCACACATACACGCGCGCGCCGCCTCTGACGACGACGACGACACGGTCTCGGAATCGCCGACGCCGCCGCCGCCGCATAGTGGTCTTATAATAATCGTCCGCGGTATCGGTCCAGTCAACCGCGTGGCTTTCGTGCGTATTGTTCGACGTTACCGTCGCCGCCGTCGCCGCCGTCGTCGTCGCGTAAAGTGACATGAAACACGTCCGAAAATCAAAATAAATATATAAATACCTATATTTCTGATACGATATCAGAGAGGTACCTAGCGTTACACAGCGGCCGCCACCGGACTACTATACTAGTGTTTCGGAATAATATTGGTTACCGTGGAATTTTTTTTTTAATTTTATGAGATAAGGTACAGTCTTATTTTAAAATTTTTTTTTATTTTGCTTATGCCATAGTAAATTTTGGTTCCTCGATTGCCTCTATAGATTATAGCAGGTATCCGGACATCGGGATTGCCGCCGTGTGTTCTGTCTTGGCGGATTCGACTATTGTTCTTTCTTGTTTTAGAAATAATTAGATTTTTTTAATTATTTAGCAATAATACTCTACCTGTGTGTACATTTCGTCTCCCTCCCCCGCTCGGTGACATCCGCGTACACGTCTCTGGCTGATGAACCGGCAACGTTTGCGAGTTGAATTATGTATAATATGCTCTCTCGTTGGTTGCGGTGGTGGTGGCGATGGTGGTGTACGTGGGTCGAATCACAATTATTATATTACATTCGATTTTAAAGACGGCTGTATTATACCTATATAATATGAAAAACATGCGCGTGCGAAATGCATCGCCCGTGGTTGACGGCGGGTGTTTTGACGCGTCGCCGTGACGTCACTGTCATGGACGGCGGCGAATAGCACGTGCAGTCGCAACAGCAGTTGTGGTTCTTAACGCTCTTTTTAAAACTATAAATTATTTTACAAAATATTATGTTATTAGTTAGTTACGTGTAACGTACGTTTAGCGTGACGAAAACTTACAAGTTTGTTCATTTTTTTTCATTTCAATCTTAAAACTTGTTGGAACAGTGGTAGGATAAATTATTGTTCACAACTTGTGATATAAAATTATCGTTGCAGCGGGTAAAACTTAGGTTAGCTTTTTCGTCGAACCTTTGTATTAAACGTAGAATCTAGGTGAAAATCAATCGACCTACCTATATTATTAAGTCATAACCCCGTCACGGCGACGTACACAAATACACGCACAAATAATACAATACAATATTATATTATAATAATAACTAATATGGCTTCTTTACGTAACCCAAAGAACTTTTATATTTCCTTACGAATTCTGAATCGGCGAAGAGCGTTTTATGCTCTACAGCCGCTTGTGACCGTGATGATAACATTTTCAGTTTACATATTAGTATAATCGTTATAATATAATATATAATATGCTATTTCGACTTTACAATGTACGAATACGTAAATATGGGTTTGCTTACAATATAGGGAAGTCAACACTATGCCTATATTTAACAATATTACTATACCTACAAGATTAACAAACCATCGTAGAACTTAAATTATTATTATTATTAGTTACTCGTTTATTTATAAATGTATAAAAAAAATTGTTCTAGTGTTTATTACAGTATCGTACCTGTCCTTCCTGTTTATAATATTATATTTTACCCTGTACGCGGTTTTCCTGGTTCAGGCATCTTGTTATCATATCGCGTCGAATACCTGTTTTTTTTTTGTTTATTACGTGAGTTTGTTCAGTTTGCTTGGACGAATCGACTTATACACCGTTGTTGTTTTTTTTCTTTTCCCGCCATGTAAACGTTTGTTGTTGTATATACACATAATATTAATATGTCTTTTTTCTTTTTATTTCAGTACCTACATACAGGGACAACTACTACAGTCACCGAACAGATCTTAAAGAAAATATAACAATTAAAAAAAAAAAAAATGGCACAACTAGTCTTAAACTTTATCGACAGTTACCACGACATAATGGACAACAAAAGTGGTTAGTACTTTTATTATATTAAGTATTTTTTTCATTTAACGGTATCAACTTTCGATTTCGGTATTACGTCAAAAAAAATCTTAATTCTAAAGGAATTATGTTATACCGGCAGAACAGGTGGATAGATGTAGGTACCTATAGGAAGTGCGATTACTACTATGTAATCGGTGAGGACAAAAATTTTGCTTGGAGAAAGGTGTAGATGTAGGTCATTAAGTAATATTTTTCTAACGAATGTATGTTTAAATTATTCTAATAAACGCTATTTTTCAGCAGTTCGGTGTATCTAAAAGTTTTCAAAATTTAAGTGACAATATAAATCGATTGGGGGGAGGAGGGAGTAAGTAGTCGTTATTAAGGTTTCCGATTATGTGAAAATCGTTAAAATGCATAAAATGTATAGTATGTGCGAACGCGATCGAATGCATTTCTGTTAGTCATTCTTAGTTGTTGCTTGTATTAATATTATTAAAACTATTGTATTTCTAAATTGTATTATTTAAACACTGAAATATGATGATGGACCCTTCAGGGTCGATTATGATAAATAATACACATTGCATCATAATTCATAAGTATTATGTAAAGTCTTTAGTATGGCTCATGTTTGTCTTGCAACCCTATAGAATAAACGCTATGTTATAACAAATCATTGTATAGGTAGTTCTTATATTAGGTATTATATGTTGGTTTTGTACGCTTACATATATCGTAGAAAGTGCACGGTATCTACCAGTTATATACCATTCACGACAGCTCCAGCTGTTATCGGCATTCTGGTTTCTATTGTACATGCCATAAAATTCCTTCCCGAATCTTGAAAACATCCTTATATTCTAAATTTCAAAACAAATCTTTTATCGGGTTTTTTTGCCTCTGTTCCTGTTTGTTTGTTTTTTTTTTTTTGTTCGCTTCCGAATGCTCTAATGCACCCAATATAATATAAGTATTGTGGTATGATTTTAAATCGTATCATTCCCAATAAAATATATTCTTTGTTTTCTTTTATTTAGTCACACATATACAAAAATAAAATATACCTACCTATTGGAAAATATTTTTTTTTATTATTCTTTCCCTGGGATTTTAAATAAATTCCTTTTGCATATTTGCAGGGGTAGATGATTTGACTTTGACATGCGTCACGTTCTAAATTAAATTACTATTAATTTTTAAAAGCTTATAATAATGACTGTATTTATTTTAATACCTATTGTTTTTAAATTTGGTTTTGCTAAGTTCTTTTATAAAATTTCATTTTCCAAAATTGTTGAATTATTATTATTTATTTTATTTTATTTTAATTTAATTTAACTATCTTAGTTAAGTTAGTAGTTATAAGGCAAGAAGTACGTTGTCAGTTGAGTTCGATGCTTAGTTAGTGTGGTGTGAAACGGTAACAATAAAAAATATAATTTTTAACAAAATAACAACTATAGGTAACCGTATATATTACATACCCGAGGCATAATTAATAATGAGTACTAATTATTTTCAAAACAGTCATAATACATTAATGCAAATTTAGTTTAAAGGCCGGAAGATACATAGGTCCAAATACGTTTATACGTTCTTTTCCTATGTGCTAAACATACATTTATATCCGGCCTTTAATAACAGTTACTGTTGTAATAATATAAAACCTTATTAAAATGTTGAATTATGTTTTGTGAAAATAATAATTTTTATTTCACGTGTGATAAATTATTTTTTACTTGGCTATCGTAAATTCACTACATATTTTTTGGGTACTGCTAGAAAATGTATTCCCTGTAGTATTTTTGTTTTGTTTAGTATATTATATTCAGAGTAAACAACATTTTTTTTTTTTTTGGCCATCTGTTTTTCTGTATTATAGCTATTTGATATAACAGGCGATCCACCCTGTATAATATGAACCATGCATGCTGACTTATTTCATTGTAAGACATTTTCGTTATTGGAAAAATCAAATTTATATATAAACCAAAATAATTGTATGGTTAAAAGTAATGAGACTATTTTCTAACAAAATAAATGAAAATTATTCGTAACAAAAAAAAAAAAAAAAAAAATAAAACACATTCATAATTTAACTGGTTGGCTAAACATAAATCCATTAATTTGTATAACATTTATATGTTAGATAATTCACAAATAAATATTATTCGTAACAAAAAAAAAAAAAAAACATTTAAATGTGTAATATATTTTGGATACCTAGTTATATTACATCAAGTATTAGGTATATATTTTTATATTATTATATAATTTTAATGGTTATTTAATTATATTTTTATTACTTGTCTAACTTTTTAACTCATCGTTATTAAATTAACTATATAAATTATAGCTTATATATTAGCTTATTATAAATTTAGCAGATACATTGTGCGAAATATACCTAAAATAAAACAGTATAAAATATATCCATTACTAAATATACAAAGACAAAAATAAGTTAAACCTTTATTTTGACTTAATATATCAACATAGTAAAAGAAAAATATTATGTACAAATCATAATTAATTTGTGGTTTAATAAAATAGTTTTTTTTAGTTATTACACTTTTTTTTTACTGCGAAATAATTTAAAAAATATTTAAATAAATAAGTAAGTATAAGAAAGTACGGTGGTACAATTATTGGGCAATTTTTTAACAATACATATCTTACATCATTTAAAATATAATTAAATTATAAAACAATATTAAAAAATAAAAAACATACGACCTAATTCAATGATAAATTGCACACGAATAACGATTCTGAGCGGAGACGGTCTGTCAACCTATATTTCTGAGAATATTGATATTGTTATTGGTAATTTATTTTGCTGATAAATTCGTATTTATATTATATACAGGTAGTACTAATTATTATACCAATATTTTATTATATTATTAACTTATAAGTCAATAACAACGTAGTACTTTCGCCAACGGTGTGTATAAAGTCATGGGACAAATAGCTTAATATTAATCTAAATATTTTGTAATAAATAACCATATTATACTTACGAAGTGGTGAAAAGGTTTAAGCCCTTAAGAATAATATTTTTGACTGAGCCTTAAAATGTTTATCAACACCAATAAATAAAACTTAAGAGTAGAACGTTTCAAATGTCTTTAAATAACCCAAAAATAGCAAAAACATTTTGAAATTGAAATCATGTTCTTAAATAGACATTAGTCCCTTTAAATTATTAGTATTTGCTATTTTCTAATTTCCCAATTAATTTAGTTTTTGTAGGTACTCTATATAGCTAAGTTTGAACTATTCATATTTGGTTTCAATCTATTTATTACTTTTCTAATCACTTATTTAGTATCTAGGTCTACTTATAACTTATTATTATACTAAAAAAAAAATCCGCAGTAATAATTAACATACTTGCCTAATTCCCGATGGTAGCAAATTAACTAGGCCCACTAACTAATATTATTTTGATAAAATTCAAAATATCAATGTAATATTTTGGGGCACTGCCCCACTTTTTCCTTTGATAAAGATATGCTACTGGCCTAATCGCAATGTTTAAAATTTAGTTTATCTCATTTTTACTCATACAATGTTAGTACAAATAATTATTTCTGTATTGTATCCTTGAATATTATAGGTAGTGATTTCATTTAGTATTTATATTTATTTAAAGGACATCTCAATCAGTACCAGTTATATTTAAAGTAGTTAAAAATCACCTACTATTATACTGATATCCTCTAGATTGTTAAGAGATAATAAATTTAAATAGGTAATAACCCACAAAATTATATAGTTCTATTGAGTAAAATAAATAAGGATTAACTTTAACAATACATTAAAATGTTATGAATAATAACTAAAATCAATATGTTCAAATTTGATACGATAATATTGTACTTCAAATTATTTTGAGCATAGCTCGATAATTATTATAACAATACGCATATCATTAATAACCCAAGTTAAATATGTTTTAAAGACGTTAAAAATGTGTTTTTACTTTAACTAGAGTAGAACAAAGTTACATCTAAAACATTTGATTTAATTTTTAAGTTTATTCTGTGATTAGTTAAAATTGGAAATAAAAAAATTAAATTTGGGCACTGAATAAAAATAATATGTTGAGCATCCCGCTACTCTGGTCTGAGCCAATGAGTCCTATATAGCGTCGAAAGTCAGTTATTGACTCCGTCCGACGTCTATTATTATAATAACTAGAAAAAAAAATTAAAAATGTTCTTTATTTTTTTTAGAAATAACGTTTAATATTGTAATTTACAATCCATACTAATAATCAAGCCAGGAAAATATGTGATGATATAATATAGATATTATTATTAAGTATTTCCTGTATAACACATTACGCATCACCTTTTGCTGCAAGGCCTTCTGTCCTAAATTAAAGATCATGAACTATTAGAATAAATAATTTTAATATATACACTGGTATTTATTACTGCATTAATGGAAATGTTTATTTATGTGTTGTATGATTATTATGCACGCAAAATGAAGATTTTATATTACCGCCTGAATAATATTTGATTTTAGTAAAGTTGATTTTTGTTTTTTAACTTTTGGTGTTACAGTTGTTCAGTTTACATTATATAGTATACATGTAAACATGATCATCAGCTATTGGCTCTAACCCTTAAATAGAAACATTTTGTAACCAAAAGTTGAATGCATCGGAGGGCACCAACTTGTTAGTTGTAGATATACTTGTATGCCATACCACAACATGTATCAACAAATATAAATAATAATCAACATTTTATCTTATTTTTTTAATATTTGTATCATTTAAATCTATTCTTTCACGATGAGTATTTAAAATTATTAGTTATTGGGTGTTTTTTATTCTTAACACAGAATATATTCACATTGTTTGTGGTGAAATCATGGCTGATTATTTATAATGTACTTATGTACGACTACTATTTTAATATTAATCATTGCATTATATTGTACTTAAAAATAATTTGACACACTAATGATAATAATATATTTTTGGAACATTGGAGGTCTTAAATTTATAACTTTATATTTAATATAAAAATATATTTATGTAACAGTATAGTATATATTTACTTATATTTTGTTGTTTTCAATATTTTATAAATTACTAATTATATTATTAACTATTAACTAGTACAATTTAACTTTATTTAGTAAATAGTTAAATAAAGCTATCTTTCATTTGCTTTAAGAATGTAATAATATACCTAGGTACTCCTTGTAGTCTAGAAAAAAAAATATGGTTTACTGTGTATTACACATTCCTACCCCGTCTTTCGTTTTATAGTGTGTTTTCTATTTACGGACTTATAACGTTATGAATCTAAAAAATACCATTTACTATTCACGTATTTCACGAATTTTAATTTTACGTTTTTCTATTTCAGATCCCAGAGTAAACGACTGGCCGATGTTGTCCAGTCCATTCCCGACGCTGTTTATTTGTCTATTCTATGGTTACTTTGCCAAGACGCTCGGACCAAGACTGATGGAAAACCGAAAACCTTTTCAACTTAGAAAAGTTCTCATAGTTTATAATGCAATACAAACGATGTTCAGCGCTTGGATATTTTATGAAGTAAGTACAAATTGCCGGCCACGTGCACTTTTTGCCAATTACTAAATATTGTAGATAGATTATGTGATAGGAATTTAGTAATACGTAAATTATAATTCAAACGTGTGTTTGTGTCATTTGCGTTTCCGCGTTCAGTTTCCTCGTTTTGAATCTTGTCTTCATGATGCAATAGAAAACAATCAACAATATTATTTTTAACCGTCCTTTTGAGCTGCAACTTCGTGCGCCCATGTAAATATTTAGGATAGTTAAATTAAAATATTTTTTCGGGTATTATACTCTGTGTACTTTAAAAAAAAAAAAATAGACGTTTGTAGATAACTTGCAATTATTGTTGTCCACTGAATATATTTATGCAACTAGAACGTCGTTGCACGTTATGACTTTTAACGCTTCTGTAAAGTAAGGCTATGACGTCTTTCAGTTGAGCTATAATAATGATTATATTGTTATATTATTAAAAACAAACAACTATGATCTTTGTTTTCTCTTTAAATTTGGACTAATCAAATCTCTGGAACAGCCGGATGGTTAACCCTGTGATACTCGGGTAAATTAGCGTTGGTTAATTTGTTTTCCTATATTTAGATGAAATTTTAAAAGCGATGATAGATAATAATAGATGGTAGTACCTAAGTACAATTAATTATTAGGTATCAACTGTAGTTATGTGTTAAAAAAATAGTTTGATTTACCTATATAATGTAAGTACTATATGTAAGTTGTACCTAATGATTTTTTTTATTTAAGCATCACGCTTCGTTCTTTGTTATAATTAATATTGTTTTTTCAATGGAAATTAATTATAACTATAACCATGCATAAATTAATATAGAAAATACTAATTTGTATGTGAATTTAAAAAAAAAACAGTTGAAGAGATAATTTTATTCATTAAGCATCATATAATATCTTAGATGCCATTAGGTTAACTTATTTAATTAGGTCATACGAAAAGCTTTGGTGCATTGTATATGGGTGCTGAATGATTAGGTGATGACCATTAATTCTGCAGTGTGTCCGTGTTTACAGATGTTTTTTATGTAATTTTCTTTATTTTTGTGCGAGTCTATTTGGGTTTGGTATTACTGGCCGTTAGAGTTTATGGACAATTATTTCTTCAGTGTTATTTTAATTTCCAACCGTTGTCTATTATTTTATCTGTTTAAAAAATGGATATAAAGTAATACTTAACTCAATACATCTAGTCGATTTAATGTGCTATTATAAATCTATTTAACTGCTATTTTTTTCTTTGAAGAAATTATAAATTATAATACCTATTGCTAAATCTTTTACAAATACACATATTTATATTTTCTTATCATAATATTTTTTTTAAACCTTTCAAAATATGTATATAGATAGGTACTGATATTTATATGTCAATTAATAAATTGATAATTTATTTTATTCGCACGTTAAAAGTTGATGGACAAATGTTAACAAAATATAGATTTATCACAATTAACGAAAATTAAATTATGAACTCTCATTAAAATGTATCTAAAAAATACTTTTAAAAACTGGGAAAATAGAAGTTCCAACCGTTGTTGGTTATCATTTTACTTTATGTTACCATTTAGATACATTTTTATAAGTAGTAAAAATGAATTTAAATAATTATTTATTTGTTACCTAGTTTTTTTATCTTATTTTGAGAATACAATTTTTCTTTTCAATGTTTTGTTCTTCGGCCTTGATACCTATTATCTAATTAATAATTCTATTATACTAATATATAAATAAAATATATACAAATAATAAATAATAATATTACTATATAAACGTTAAACATCATGACAATATTTTTTACTATTTGAATTATTTGTTAAGATTTTTTAGTTTTTAAATTAACTATTAATTTTAATAAATTACAAAAATACAGATCATGCCATAATTATCTTAACCTTGATTAATGTTAAATTAATTTTTTTATTTTTGTGCAATATCGGAAATACATTTTACCTACTACCTATAAGCTTGTTTTCTTAAATTAAACAACTGTAGGTAGGTATTTACTTTTTTATGTTAACCCCGATGACATTCATCTGTAGTACCTTCATACAAGTTAGAATTGATTAATGTACTTTAATCATATTAAAATTCCTTGTTTTACAACTAAAATATAAGAATATTGTTTTACGCAAGGTTAAATACTAGAGTATATCAACTGCATTAATCGATCGTCATAATATATCGTCGTAGCACAGTTACATTTTAATACATTGAGATTCGTATTTTGAATTTATAATATTTCGATGGTATTAAAAAATATATCAAAGTCATAATCCAACATTTAAATTCATTAGTTTCTATATACTACGCTTATAATATTGCGTACCTAATTATAGATATCAACTTTTCAGTAATTTTGTTTGCAATATTCAAAATTTGAAATTTTATTTAAGTTATAGATATGATTAGGTACTGTAATTAACTAAGTTGCTTATGTGCTTTAAAAAAATTTATTTTAATCTCAAATTCACAAAAATCTAAATAATGTTAGTTCTTTTAAATACACTCCAATAACAGTTATATATTCTACAGTATATTGTTTAAAATTTAAAAGAGATTATATTTCAATGAACCTCGCAGCACTATCATATCAATAATATTATATAAACTACTAAACGATGTTTAACAATATAGTTAGTTGAATAAATTAATACTGACACGTTATACGTTTCAATCGCAGATAAAGTTATTTGTAAACGTGTAACAACATAAGTCAATAGTTATAGGTACTAATGTTAAAATAGTTCTTCTTTTAAACACTTAAAGTTTATTTATTTCTTAAGTGTTTAGAATACAATATTAATGCGTACTATTTAGTTCAATTTTACATAAATCATTCAATCACTAACACTTATTTCTGAAATTATTCAATATCCTTTAGTGTACCTACTTGCGTACTTTCTGTAATTAATCAAACTTCTTTAAAGGGTATTTATATTTTCGTGTGGAACCAGCATCTTCCTACTTATATAATAAACTGTGTAGGTATTTATTTAGCTTTTTTGCTAATTGATTTATGGAGTTGTTATAATAGTTATAGGCCGTATTTGAGATTACTCGGCGTACTACTTTTATTAGGACTGTTATATGGCGCATTTACACGTTGGGGTCGAAATGTGTATTATTTAGCTGTATTTTTAAGTACAGTTTGGCAAACGTATATATACCGTGATTAGGCTGAAATTCAATTGGCTGATTCTTCAGTATTGTTTTAGATGACGGCGTATATATTTGTAATCAATCTGTAAACGCGTGTATATTTGACCCAAATTTATTCTTTGTCCATTATAGTGGTATTTTTATTTATTTTTTAATAAATTAATGATATTTGATAATGATATAATAGCTTATAATAATTTAAATTGTACTTGGCTACATAAAATATGTATTTAGTAGACAATACAAAAAAATTTCATGAGCTTACATTATCAAAAAAAAATTAATGATAATAATATTTATATTAAGATGTATAATAATATATTATTATACATTTTACTGATGTGTTTTAAAATGTAATATTTTGATTGTAATATGTATATTATACCTGTATGTATTTGCATATAGTTAATAAATATATAATAATAGCTAAATCGAATTTTTTTGTTAAATCGAGTAATACAATTCGAAATAGAAATGAGTTTAATTTATCTATATCTTCCTTGAAATTCGAATTACTGAGACTCGACTGTAGTATAAATTATAATATAGGTTAGGTACCTATGTGGTGTGCGCCCGGCATATCATAAACGTTCATCGGGTCATGATACCCAATTCGGCCTTGCCTAAATTACTATTTTTTTTCTAATATATCATACTATCGTTTTTGTCAATTATGATAATTTTTGCTTTTTTTGTGAAAATCTACCATAACCGTTTTGAAAGCCGAGCCGAAGACATGTATCAATATAATATTTATATGCTAAACCTAGCATAAACTATAGCATAAAAAATATGCTTCTAATTCAAAAATAATGTTTTGTTTCCTCAGTATATGATGAGCGGCTGGGGAGGATCGTACAGTCTAAAATGTCAGCCGGTTGACTATTCCTATAGTCCGATGGCCTTGCGAGTGAGTATTATATAATACCTACATTATTATATCAATATACTATAAACTTTGTATTTTTGATTTGTTATTATATATTTTGTTAACGAATCATAGTAGTGTACCGCTTTGCAACTGTCTAGGTTCTACTGACGTCTACTGATGATATGATAAAATAATACAATTATAATAATATTATGCTATTTTGTTGCTATAATATGCTCTTGTCTTTATATTTCTAGATGGCCCAAACTTGCTGGTGGTATTATATTTCTAAATTCACAGAATTTTTCGATACGGTAAGTCTTTCTAGCAGTGACTGTTTAATATAATATATTATTTTATCATTATTATTATAATTGTGTGTTGTACTCGCAGGTGGGTGGTGTGGCGGCGGGTAGGTGGGTTATAGAAATGGCATTGTGTTCACGAATATCGCGGGTGGTCAGCGTATTACAAAATATTTCACGATATACCCTGAAACTGTGTAGGTATATATATATATATATTAAATATAGTTGGGTCGGGGTGCCTGAAAATAACTGGCCGCGTAGAAATAATTCACAGACGTCGTGTATATAATACCATAATATATATTAACGGTGGCGGCGTGTAGCGGGGAAGAAAAACAAAATCGATCGACCAATGTCACACGAGCTTTCGTGTTATTTTCGTATAACTCAATGCTATTGCCTTCTCTATTATATACATTGTAAAAGGATGGTGGTGGGGGTGGGGGTACGTTTTTGGTCTATATACATATATATTGCATTGTGTTGGGGTACCGCAGCTATTGTGTGCATAATATATATTAGGTAATTTTCGTAACTACTACACAATAATAATAATAATTTTATATTTTACCTACCTATTTAACTTCGTATGATATAATTAACAAAAACCGTATCGTTTTCGCTTTGTTTTTTTTTCCAGTTGTTTTTTATACTTAGGAAGAAGAACCAACAAGTGTCGACGTTGCATGTCATCCACCATGGATGCATGCCGATGAGCGTCTGGATGGGAATGAAATTCGCCCCCGGTTTGTCAACATATATCATATTTATATTACTTAAGTGCCAATTTTTTTTTTTATTACAACTATTGAATATTTATACATGGTGATATCAACCGTAATTTAGCGTGGACAGAGACAACCGATCGTACCTATATGTTATTTTTGGAATTCTAACTATATATAGTTGAATTTAGTTAAATGTATTCAACTGCCCTTGTTTTAGATAATTTTTAATATTCTATATCGTAACTGTGCTCAATACTCATGAACTGAAATTTGCCAAAAAATAATAATTGTACTTGTAAAATTAAAAAATAATACATGATGAAAAATATTTAATCAATTTTTGAATTGCGTTGACCCGGGAATGAACCTTTCCACCCTCTTTGATGATACACTATAGACAGTAGCATATTTATAAATTTCTCGCCTAATCCTATTCCCCTATTCCTAATCACACGATGAGCTAATACTGATATGAAACTGTATTTGAATATATTTTGGTATATACATCATAATTAAATCTTAACCGTATGTGACGTTTGTAGACATTAATTAACTTAAACCCAATAATATAATCATTGAATCATATATATGTTCATTATAAATTATCTTATTAAAATATATAATACGATATAAGTAATGGTCTTACCATAAAATATAGTAATATTATGGATTCAACTATAAAATAATATAGAAAAAAATATCACTTAAATTTATTTGTACCTGTCCAAATTAGTCAATAGCGTATTAAACTTTTAAAGTGGCAACTATTAAATATCTAATATTTTCAAATAAAATAGCTGTAAATATTCACAGCTAAAATATGATCAAGATTAATATCTAAACTATTTTTTTCTTGCTCGCATGTGTATTGTCTATCCATACTAAACAGTAATCCGTTTAAATGGGTATACTAATTTGAAAAGTTAGTTTCATGTTTTTTTAATACGATTTAATAGGTATTCACAAAATACTTATAACAGCAAGTGGCTCCCCTTAAAATGGGAAACCTATTCTTTGAGCAACATTTTTTTCCGATGACTTAATCTCTAAATAGTTTGAAAATATAAACATTTATTAATTCAATAGTGGATATTCTGATATCTATAAACTTCAATATTTTTTGAAAAGTATTCTAGCTGCTTCTGGTTATGGTATTAAAAATATTAAAATATAAGATTTTCGCAATTATCTGTCGTCATAAATAATTAATAGTCGACAAATCCTCGCCACATATATACAAGTGTTCTAACCGACCAAACCCTCCCCACCGTTAAAAACTTTCTAAAAACATCTCAAACAATTATTTTAAATGTTACAAATGGATCACTCTTTTGGTATATAAGTACACTGTATACAGCCACGTAAACGAAATAAAATGTCGAGAGGGGCCACCCAAAACCTCTGTATCTTATTTGTGTACATATTATAATATGTGTAATTAATATTTTTAAATTTTTTTAAAATCATATAGGCGGCCACAGCACTTTCTTCGCGTTGCTCAACACGTTCGTGCACATCGTTATGTACTTCTACTACATGGTGTCGGCGATGGGACCTAAGTACCAAAAATACATTTGGTGGAAGAAGTATCTCACCTCATTCCAGATGGTATGACTTTATATCCACTACAAATTAAAATAAATTACAATTTATTGTGGTGATCGTTAATCGAAATTTGTTTTTCCTCTATATATATATTTACAGCTCCAGTTTGTGTGCATTTTCGTCCACCAGTTCCAACTTTTGTTCCGCGAATGCAACTACCCGAAGAGTTTCATGGTTTGGATAGGCCTGCATGGCGTCATGTTCTTGTTCCTGTTCTCAGACTTCTACAAATCCAAATACACTAGTGACGGTAAACGGAGACCTGCAAACGACGGAGCTTGTATGGTATGTTGTGTAATTATTAAAACAAATAATACAATAGTACTAGGTCATGTAAATTGGATGCGAACTGATGGGGACGAATTATAAAGAGCCCTTGTAATTTCAACTGTTTCTACGCTCTATTGACCTTAAGGATGTCATTTTTATGACGTTGAAAATATTTGTATCGATCTCTTAGTCACTTTTTATTTATCCCCAAGGACTCCCGGTCGCGCGCTTGTGCTATACGTTTCACTAAATGTCACGGAAAAAGTATATATAATTGACTCGTCTGAATTCTTATGTTAAGTATACTGAACTGTATTTCAGTCTTATCCTTATGTCGATTGTTATTGTGTACCTTTGTGCAATGACATATTTGACCATAATTTCCCAGAGGATAGAGAAAATAATGAATTTTTATACTTATACAAATTATTTAGTATAGAAATGGATAGGTTTAATTCTTTTTTTAATATTCTAAATCAATAACATTTTCTTTTCTTAAGTTTGCAGCAATTGAGAGGAGCATAATGAAGCCAACACAAAATATAAATTATATAGACATTGCCCACAATAATTTGTGATATCAATCATTTGTAGTGATTATGATTGTCCCTCAGAATGAAGTACCTACCTCTTATTTGGTTTAAGATACAATAGTTAATCGGTTTAGAGGTGGCCACTTTTATTGTCGAAATCTTAATCCTAATGTAATTTTAATTACCAAATGATATATTTTGACGGAAATGCAACCAAATTAAAAATATTTGCGTTATTATGATGAAAATAAAAAATAAAAATCGCAATATTGCTTTCTTCAATTCTTTAATAATTTCCCCTTCTTCCCCCTCAATTACACCCCTGGCAATATACAATATATGTATAAGCTATATCTACGAGAACAAAACAAAAAGAATTAACCCTCTTATAGTGCCTTTTTATTACTGCAAAATATTATAATGGTGTATGTTGTTTTCTAATACCTATATAATATAAGTATTATACCTAAACGGATTTTTCCCTCTTCCGAATTTTTAAGTTTTTCTCCTTCAATTGAATCGAATTTTTTATTTAAAGCGACCGGTCTAGTTTTAGAAATTGCAACTACTGCAGTCGTCGTTATCCGACTTTAGGCGTATGTCCGCGGTATCGATGTTAATAATATTATGCTGAAATCATGAACCCAGCGTCATACAACACCATACCTATACTATGTTATTTTTATATGTTCAGAATTATAAAAGACTAATTGAGCGGCACTCATAAACGTGAACATTATGACATAAAAAAACTGGTATAAATTATTAGTAAATTATTTTGACATTTAAACGAGTTTAATGTGTAGTAAAAGTTCATATTGTTAAATTTCGTTGAAACAAAATATATAATAATAATTGTATTGTCTTTGATTTATTCTATTTTTTTAATTGGGCAGCATATTATACATATTATACCTACTTCATATTTTCATGACTATATTGATTTCGTTTAATCCATGTTGTATGTAATATGTATACAATTATATACTTAACTTAAATTTGTTTAATCGAATTTATTGTCATTCCATATTATATGTTCGTTATATTTTGGTGGCTTAAAAGATTCTAAATATAAAAATCAAAAACAGCCATGTCGATCTCTGTTATAATGTTGAATATTGTACCAGCTGATGCAGTTTCAGCGATTCGAAGCTTACATTATTTACAATTACCGCTAACTTAAATATACTCTAAATATGTTATAGGTGGGTACGCGGATGTATAATATATAAATATATTTAATTTGTATAGAACATATTCAAATGTGTGTCTAATCGAGTATTTTAATTCGAAAAGCCGATGCAGTATATTATATATAGACTTGTCGAGCATTATAACTTATTCAGTATATTACGTAAACATACGTTATGCCAACATTGACTTTTGTTTTTGAATATAAATTACATATATATGCTCGGCGGTCGTCCCCGCCGAATCCACACGTATACTTACTATACGTTTTATATTATATATGCCACCGCACCTAAACTCTTAAAGGATTTCGGTATATACATGTATATATGTAGTCGTCTGCGTATATACTTCAGACTTCTTAAAAGCCCGAACTTTAAGATTTATAGATTTTACGTTCGGGGGTAGAAAAACAACGCTTGCGCTATTATTTATTTTATTTATATTGACATATTGTATATAGAGAATAAATATACATGTACCTATTATATATCATAATTCATAAGCGTTGTATATGCGGGCGGAATTGCAGTTTTCTCGATAAATACGAATGTATAAATTGGTGTGTGTGTGGAATGTTAGTAATTGCACCTTTCTGTGGCTTTTGTCATGTACACATGATACCGTTACTTGCGATATCAAAAGGCGCGTTCTATAATGTAAAATCATATAAATAATACTATATTATGTAATGTAGAAAACATTTTTGGAACGAAACATATTTAAACTCTTAACGATTGTGCATACAATAATAAAATATTTTGATACCAAATTCTAGAAAGAAAATTGACATTCTACTAAACATTCGCCCCCCCCCCCAAAAAAAAAAAAAATGTATATACTATGAAACATAGAGCTACAACTTAAAATGAATTAAAATCTACGTTCGAGGATCACAATTTTAGTCAACTTTTACCCGATATATTTTTATACTTCATCTGACAATTTTTGGTGACTAAAATATATGCGCATGTCTACGCAGAAAAAAAGCTATCTCGTTTGGTTTTATAAAACGTTTTACACCCCCCCACACACACACACACACACACACACACACACACAAAATCTGCTCTGAAACAACATCTATTTTGAATAATTCTATATAAGAAAAATACATCAACTATAAGTACCCAGTCGAGTTGGAAGAGAACTGCATTTTATAGCATGTGTTAAATAATGTAACTAGTAGGTAACTACATATTTAGCTCTTATATATTGGTTAGAAAACAGTCAAATTTTATGAGAAAAAAATAATGACTACCTACTTAGTACTACTGACTTGCAGGCTTATTAATAATAAGTTATTATATAATCGTCTAACTCGTTAACGCCAGCCTTGATGTGGCGTTAATAATATTATAATCATTCGGGCTTATATATACATTTATTGTTTATGTACTAACCGTTGTGTATGTACCTTTATGGCTGTATATACATGTATAATCGTTGTTGTTTTACAGCCGGTGGAGGGAGCGAGTTACAGCAAGTGTTCCTCCAACGAACACGACAACGTCGTGTACTATTCGAACGGCATCGTCAACGGTTTCAAAACGACTGAAGACGCCAAAACCAAATAGTGATGGGCCGATACGATTAAACGTTCCTAATCGAATAGAGGAGAACAGCTGGCGGATATATGACACAATCACCAATAATATAAAGCACACTCAAAACAAAATAAAAATATTGAAACACAATATATAATTATATAAAAATTATTGAAAATGAATTATTTGAAGAAAAAAAATGTCCATATAATTAACTAAAAAAATATTTAAACGAAAAAAAAAATTTAAAAAAACGAAAAAATGTTTATATGAAGCAGTAAAACTTGGACTTATACGCTGATCGTCTGAGGTGTACATGTAACAACAAATCTAATACGTATAAACAAACATAACTAAACTAAAACAATAATATATATGGTATGTATAATATGCATATTATGTACGATACTGTATATTATGCGTATAAACATAAAATATTTGATTCTTTAGATTCAATATCCATTTAGATTTTCAATTTTAATGTAGCGCATTTTTTTTTTTATATATACGAATTTGTAATTAACGGTTTTTTCATTATTGGAACCCAGTATTATTCGCGAATTGGTGTGAAAACGTGTGCAATGCTTGAAGTACTTATATATATTGTTATCGGTAGGTAAATTTCGGGGGATGGGTATAAGTATATTGTGTAAGTATAGTACATCGAATAACATTTTTTTTTTAATTATTAACTCGTACACTTCGTAATAATATATATTATATACTTAACGTTCGAATTATATATACCCATCCCGATGGAATTTTCTCTCTTGTTTTCACTCGAAATATAACTAATACGAATCAATAAACTACACAATATTATATTGTATAAATATATTAAAAACGAATAAGATAAAACGGAGGAACAGTACAAACGATATTAAATACACTAATTAGGTAGAGTTATTTTGGAATTGTGTTACCTTTCGTATATAGATTATGTTATTATGATAATTTTAAATTTTTAAATTTATATTTTTTTCCTTGTTCCCATATATTGTTGTGTACAATATGTAATACATACGGCAACGAAAAATATAAATGTAGAACTCTCTAAGTATAACCTTATATATAGTGTCAACAATGTATATGTATGTAGATTGTAAGAACGTGAGGCCATCGTACTTTTCTGAATCAGCGTGTTTTTTGTTTTTTTTTTACAATTTTAGTCATATATTATATATATATACTTTCTTTTTTAATTTTTGTTTTTTTTGTATGGCTATTAATAAATACAAAAAAGATTTTATGTTTGAATATCTTTTTAACTTTTTGATATATAAGTGTATTTATTTAAAATGAAATTAAAAAAAAAAAAAAAAATTGTAAATCAAAAAAAATTGTTATTTTGCAAAATATAGAATTTTGAAAAAAAATTGTCTGTTTATTTGATTACTATTTCGTGTGGACGGTTATTATTTTGATTCGTATGCAATATAAAATATGTATTGGGTAATACCTATAAAACATAATACGTATGGTGTTTGTTCGATATTGGAGAAAAACTCAAGTGTTCCTTACTGGAATATTACGTTTATGGGTTTGCACCGGAAAAGAAAATCTCGCCAAAACAAAAAACGTGTACCACCAACTATATTACACCGATGTATCTATTTCAATTACCATGATACATTGGTACAGGTACCTCGTTTAATACCGGCTGCAGAGATTTGTTCAGGTATTAATGTATTATACAGGCGAGCCAACTGCAGCATAATACATGACAATATGCTAATACAAATGCAATGTAATATTTTGTTTATATTTTAGCGGGACACGATCGAACACACTTTTAATATTATCGATCCGCAAAAATAATATCATCGTCGCCCGGCGTAGGTGATCATAAAAAAAATATGTGTACAAAGCTGATGGCGAGTACCAAGCGTACCTATATACATCGTCGAATTACGAAACGTCGGTGTTGGATAACGAGTGAACTTCCGGCGTTTGTGGTGGGGGGGAGTGACTGAGCGGCGACGACATGGTGATATTATAATAATGTGTACAAACTACAAACGAACGGCATTGACGACTCGGTTGTCGAGTGTACGGCAGCTGCTGCAGCCGCCGCATTTATCGTATCTTGTAGTTCATCTTCGTCGATTGTGTGTGAATATTGAATATAGGTGCATTTAACAACGGCGAGAAGGACGTATTATACGCATAAATAGTTCGACTCGTATTTTGTGACTATAATATTATATTTTGTATTTTTCTAATCCTATAAATTATAATACATAATATTGTTATGGTCCATGTGTGGGTAGGTACATATTTTATGATCATCAAAGATATAAGGCATAATCTACTGCTGAAAACATGATTGAATTCGTCTTGAACTTCACTTTAAAATGATACTATCTTAAAATTGTTACATTAATTGTTTCTCTTCGGCATTAATGTCATTTCTTTTAGGCAGATAGGCGCAAAGAAACTTCAAGAGTTGAATTATTATATTTTTTTAACTTCAAAGTTCGAACTAGGTCACTTAACTTGAGTAAATTATTTCCATTAACTTACTCACTAACCTTCGTAAAATAAAATATATTACTACGATAATTGATATTAAACATAATTTCATGCACACCGGATATGGCATTCCTATCTTCACTAAACATACACCACTAATTTTAGACCAACGTTAACGACGTGAGAGAAACGATGATTATCACTTGCATGGAAGCCTACAAACGATAAATAAACCTCAACATTAAAATATGGTATATATTTTCTATGATTTAAACAAGGTCGAAAAAGATAATATGGAACGTCGTGGTTGAGGTTAACAATAGTATCAGCTGCAACCGTGTTGACCTATAGATTTTTATATTATACAGTGCAGGCCGTATTTATGATGAATTCAATCATAATTTTTCATAATAGATTCAATAATATGATGACAAATTAATAAATATCTGAAAATGATTACCTCGGCTATGGTATCGCACGGTGTTATAGGCGCGTGCCTTCGATTATTGTGTATAATTTACCTACATAAATCGGATCGATCAAAGAAGTTATAATGACATATTATATTATTATATCGTTGCAACAGACGTGTTTAAGAGTATTAAAAATTCGATTCACCTTCGGCCGGTCCGGTCCCGTGCCCACGGGTTTTATTTTGTTCGACGCTGTAATATGATAATATAATATACAAGATCGTCTACAAGGTGATATTTCGTATTGGGAGAAAACAGTATATAAATGTACTTACCTTATAATTATTACTAAAATTCGGTGCCTACAGTTTTCATAGTAAATTGTTATTATTTAAATATTTAAATCTATCGTAATTGTTATGATTATCGCCTCATTACGCTTATGTGTTTTACAAAAACGTTACTTTTTTTATTTTTAACGAGCAGCGACCATAATTTCTTTTTAAATTTTAATGGTGAAAACTGGACTACAAAATTATGTTTTGTCGAAATCATTAGTTAGACTTGGAGAGGTGATTTGGGGTCACTTGTATGATGTTATTATATCATGGGACAAACTGCATGTGCTTATAGGTATCTTTATTTTGGCGGCAACACGATTCTTCAAATTTAATTTCTACATACACGATTCAGCATGGTTTTTAATGCAACGTTGCCACATCGTAATACATATTGTATAAACAAATATAATATTTTGTTATAACGTAGGTAGGTATAGTATAACATATCGTATTGTGCAATAGACGACTCTTCCTTTTCGCAAAATTGATTTCAGTGTATACTTTATACAAATTGTTGAACTTATCATATTTGATATTCTGAATTAGGCCTGTGATATATTTCCTTATGATAATAGACACATATTTTGAAATTATAAATACATTTTTACGACATTTCATAATCTTAATATTGTTTAATAACAATAATAGTTGTAAAAAATAGAAAAATCTTAAAAGGAAGTACTTATAGCCTACGCTTCAATTGTAATGAATAGATTAAACACCAATCTTAAGATATTTATCTATTTTCAAATTATTATTTTAATTGTATATAATATCGTATAAGACATATACTCAAAACTGATATATTCTCGACTTTTAGTTTTTACTTTTGAATTATAAATGTATAATATAATATAATTTGAAAATACGCATTTTAAGTTATAACAAGAGCAAACATACCGAATGCCATCGTTGCATTAAAAAAACCATGCTGAATCGTATACATTAATATTAAACAGTTATTAATATCATAAGGATTCCTCAAATGTTCGGAATCGTTCTCTACTGGATATTTTATTGGGCGATTACTATATAAAGTCGTAGACAAGACTTGTACAGTAATAGTACTATTTATATAGGTATACTATATAAATATATAATTTATACAAAAGGCAAACATTTAATATAGGGTAGGTATGCGTAAAAACCACTTCAATCTGATTCGGAACCTTAGGTGACACCTGCTCTACCTGGCCCTGGATGGATAAAGTATGGTAGGCTCCGTGTTATACTCGATGCTTTAGTGCTTGAATTGGGAAAACAAATGTAAGGGGAATGCAAAAATATAAAACGAATTTGCTAGTAAAGTAGGTAAAAGTTAAGTTATTGTTACTTTCCTCACCCGAATATTTAAACTTCTTATTGATAAAGATATAATTTGAAAGGGTCCTACACACTAGAATATTTTTAAAAAGAAGAGAGGGGTACTCCGTACCTCTACAACACTCTCCAGTCTATAAGCACTGGGTATACAGTACATTTTATATTAATAACAATATACGAACAAACACCGTTGTAATATTATATTATATAAGTATAAAATATGTATACCTAGAGTGTATGATATTTCGAAAAATTTAAACTATAAAAAATACCAGAAAATACTGTTTTTTGACGACTTAAAATTATTTTTAAAAACGTAAATAGTTGTTGAGTATCATACTTTAAATGAAACATCCTGTATTATATTGTAAAAATAACGATGTATGTGTATAATAGGTGTCGTGTCGCGTGTTCCCGAGCATGGGAGAGAGAGAGAAAGAGAGATAAAACATATAATGATATCGTAGTAAATTATCAAATACACATGTAGGTAAATATCAATTCATTTTTTTTTAATTTTAAGAGCTGTTACAGTGTTATCATTGTCTTGTGACAATATTAAGCTATAGTAGTACCTATCAAGTAATAATATCATTATTACTATTAATATTATCGTTTTATTAGTCTTCGAGTGTGTTTGATACGACAAAGGTCACACACACACGAACGTATAAAATGAATATAATAATAGATATTATATTATTGTCGTGGACAACGTACTACGCGTGAGTAATAATAATAAATTTGCTTACAATTAATATTTTATTGTACCAATAAAATATACATATATATCATATATGTTTATGTACGTATTATATATCATAATTAATTATATATAACATACACATGACACACTGTAATGTATAGGACCAGATTTCAAGGTGGACGTTATTATTTTTATTTTACTGTTGACCGTCCAGAGAGGATACGAGTTGAATCGAGACGCGGTCATAGTATATATATATTATTGTGTCCAAACGATTGTCACCGTATTGTAAATTGTAATAATTACCTGTTGTAAGATATTGCATTCCATTAAAACATTAGGTAGACTCCTTTGTGCCCTAGTACTCAGGGTTTTTATTAATCGAAAGCATTCGGGGGTGGTACGTTATTATTTATTTGTAAGTAAAAATTGTAAGGTCCTTTGACTATAGTTCTCTACTAAATGCGTGGGCAGAATTTCTATCTACTCCCGAATCAACTATATCTGTACGATTCTTCCGCGTCTAGTAGAGCTGTTACTTTTTCAGCCTCGTCGGTTGGAAGGTCGACGAGGGCTGGCCAACAATGTATTTCAGATCGTGGTGATTCGATGAGTCAGATATACAGGTTCCCAACTGTAAGTACTTGATATATTCACAAATTGATCATAGTAATTATTTTCTATAAAAGAAAACATATTCAATTTTGAAGTGAAAAATGTATGAAATGTTCAATTTTTATAGCTAAGTATTGAAAATATAATACAAGTTTTCTCATAAGTATGGTTCATACTGTAACCAAGAAAATTTAAAACTATTTAAATCCAATTTTTTCAGACATTTTCGGTTAACATTTTGACAAAATAAAATATTAATAAAAGAATAACAATTTTAGTTATTTTTTGTTGTAACTTAAAAATACTATTCGTTGGTACTTGATAATTTTAACATAATATATAATTATATTTTATACACACAATGGCATTCTCAAAACATTTTCATTAATTTTATGGTACTGCCTATTTATAGTTGTACAGTATAAGTGTATAAGTAATATTAAAATAAATTATTATAATAATTAATAGCAATACTTAAACGATAATATGCTGACAGACCGTCTCCACTCAAAGTCGTTTTTCGTAGCTATGTAATGATTTATCATTGAATCCAAATTAACACTAACATCTATAATGACTTACTCAATGACGATGTACACTGGACACTTACATTACAGCAGACCACTCAGACCAGTTGCCTACATTCTACTTTTTTTTAACAACAACTTCATTCAAATTCTGATTACTTAAGTACCGAAACGCTTACATTTTTTAATGACTCTATTTTCAAAAATATTATACGTGCTTTATAAAGAGTGTCTCATGACGATGCTTAAAAATGTTTTTATACTATAGCTATTATTTATATACATCCTGGCAAAATCATCGAGAGTATATTAAAGTTTTTATGATTTAATTTTTCATTGCAAAAAATTAAGAACTAATAATTTCTATTTATAATAATATAAAACATCTAATAATATCTATCTATATGGAATCATTCTCATAAACAAAATAATTTGATTTCAAACAAACCATTTATAGATTTTATGCCATTATTGCTCTGCGTTCCATCTACATGCATATTGTGTTCTTAGCTACCAACAGATAAACATCATAAATCTGTTCAGTATGACGTTTTTTTGCAAGGTTCGTGATACCGAAGACGTGCGATTGGTTGACTGTATTCGATGGTAAGATGATCGTCGGTGCAACGATGCACGTGGTCGAGTCCTGCAGTGGTGCTGCGCGTGTCGTCGTGACGGATCTGCCTGGACCGTGAATCGCAAAGCGAGCATTGTCCGAAATTTTGTGGTGACCACATCGTCGTTTATGAGTGATCTGAAAACCATCTGTTCATCGGTATGGTAAAATATATTTTTTCAAGATTTATTTCAATAGTGCAATACATGGTATAACAAATACTAGTGTCTTGTTTAATTATTATTAATATCAAAATCTCTCGTATTCCACCGTTTGTTACTACTGTGTTAGGTGTTACTATTAAATACTGTATGGAAGATGTAATAGATAGTGTTTAAGAGGACGCTACACAGACATTTTTTGGCTCCTTAAGTGAGAACTTCTCTTACAAGATTATACAAGGCATTACAAGGTGTAATTACAAGATATGTGTCTGTTCTCAGTTTATCATTTAACGCACTAAATACTAAATATTAATTATTAACTATCACACAATTGGCATTCAGCAGTTATACGTTTTACAGAAAATTGGCATTTTTTTAAATAAAAAAATACCTTAAATTATACCAGTTATAACTCACACTGGAAGTTACGACGAGTTCCCCCAATTGGTGTTCGGTGTACTTACTTGCCGAATTCGTCACTTGTGTACCTATAATAATAAATTTCCGTGAAGTAGGAATTAGGAATAGTTCACTTGTCCAGTTAGATTTTATCACTGGTGCGTTTCCCGATACAAATCGTCTGTAAATGTGTCTCAAGTCAAAGGAACGGACAATATTGTGTAATGATTATAAGTACTTGACAAAATATATTATGCTAGGTATTCGTTATTGGAACACTTAACGTAAAGCGTAAGTACTTATGCATAAATTATTAGCCCGCATAATGCTCATATTATAATTATTGGTGGTATACTTGACACGTATTTGTAGGTACCTACCTAATATTATATATTATGTCTCCTTATTATATAAAAAAGTTTTGGTTTTTTTATGTCCCACGTATATTTTTGTTTCAAATTACATTAATTTCAAAATGCAAATGGTTGTGACCCTTGGGCAGCGGGGATGAAGATCCCAAGTGATTGGTGAGCGAAACCAGCAGGATGAAAACCACGTAGTGTATAATATGAAACTAATATTATATAAACCTAATAATATTTGTATGGTCAGTATTACGCGAAACTTGGTATTAATATCGAATACTGTTCGACACAAGTAATGACACTATCACTTAGCTAATTAGTTTAAACTAGCTTCTTTGCTCGCGGTCATCACTCGTCATTACAAAAGTACTGATATGTGAGCTAATCCTTGGAAAATAGCTAGTATGATATATAATATGAGTTTAATTCACCCGCAATTTTCATGATTATACATTATATTTGCTGTACATAATAATATCCGACTATAATATAATATTCTATAAGGAGCAGCCTCACACGCGCATCGTTCTGCACCGAGTTATATATAGCTAAGTTAACCATATATAATGTGCCTTGGACGAAGTGAAACGCAAATCGTTTGTAATATGACATCAGAGCGTGCATCATGCAAGTATAGAATATTATTGTCTTTGGGCTATGTAATCGTCGTGTCTTATAAAATATGGGTGTAAAATATATGATTTGTGTATAGTGATAATGCATGTAGATACTTGCGGGTACATGTTAATATCATTATATTCACATCTTGACGTATTTTTTGTCTTATTTTCGATACAATTTAATATAATTAAATACTCCAGGCAGAGATGCGGAATGACAATCTGCAGAGACGGGCTATTTTTCATTTGAAACGCGACCACATCACATAAATGTTTTCTTCGGAACAAATTATTATTATATCGATCAAGCGCAGTGCGACCGCCGTCGTAGGTCTTCGCGGACAGTATTAGACAAAATAATGTACGCTATAGGGTATAGCACATTCGTATTGTACTACGCATGCTTTAGTGCATTGCGATTCTTTGCGGCGATAAAAACGTGCGTTTGTCATGGGCGATTAAAACGATAAAATACAACAATAATTCTCGAGATCCGTTTCGGAATGACGACGACCGCGGAGTCCCTGTCAAAAAATCGTGACAAACTGCCATTTTTTTCTTCGGCCCGAAATTCCGTCATGATAAAGGTACATAATAATAATATATATCATATTATTATGTGCAGTGGGGTAAACTGAAAATTGGTATACAATCTATTGTGTTTTGAATAAAATAATTGAAATAGCCGGAATATAATATTATATATCGTAGTACTATAAGATATTTTATTTTTAATGGTTCAAGGCTACATATTATTTTAATAATTATATTAAGATTTTAACAAATGTTCGTATTTATTTTATTGTTTTCCCCGATTATTTTAAAAAGAACTGAGCACTTTTAATGTTGACTTCCTAAAAGTATCAACTAGATCCGACTTGCTACCAGAAATCTCCTTCGAAGATATAAACAGATAATTTTTTTTTCAACTATAAAAATGTTCTTTAGACATAAACAAACAATTGAAAAATCAATACATTCTTCGCTTCGTAAAGAACCAAAAAAAAATCTCCAAGTAAACAAATAAAATAAATCAATCCAGGAGATTCCCTATGGTATTTAAAAAAAATAACTGTATCATTGTTTCTTTATTTAACCTTTTATAGCATATATATATATAAGGCATTTTCAACCCTGTTAATCTAAAAATTGGTATGCGACTGGCTTCCGTGAAATTTTTTTTCGTTCATAGTACCTACCTAATTAATAATTACCTAAAAAAGTTTGTTTTATAATGAAACTGATATTTTGTTTTTCCTATATGAGTTAAATTATTATGCATACAAGTTTCATGAGGTATTCTGTCAATTCATGTTGTAGATTACCATTATACTCGTATAATGCATATAATGCGAATTTAGAAGTTTGAAATTAGTTTTAAACTATTCTGGTTAACTAGATTGAGGTACTGGCATGATATAAAATCTGAGAAATAATTTACCAATTATAAATAAAATTCATGACTGCAATATGTATGAATTATTTTTTTTAAGTTTACGAACAATAAAGAGCGATCGGTAATTGTGATTATTTTCAAATTATTGTGTAGGTACTGACATTGAGATTATAATATTATAATAATGCTAAATAATATATATGTATACGTTGTACACTTGTACAGTTTACATATACTATAGCTATTAACTACATCTTATATTCCTCATGCCACTAAAAAAATATTCACCTAAATAAGCTATGCGTATATAATAGGTGAATCACGTTGACACCATTACTGATCCTTCTCATTCCCGATTTTAACTTTATCGTTATAAATATTTAACGTTATTAAGTAATTCTTAGTATATCGTTTATATTTTTGTAATAATTTACTATTTAGGTACATCAAATATCAATGATAACTCTTTTCGTATTTCCGTTCTTAGCTTGTATGCCAATCGCTATAATTTTTTTTTTGAATTTTCTACTGCTAAGGTTATTATAACTTACAAAAATAAATAATTATTTAAGTTGAAAAAGAGCTTAGTAATATATATTGTGGTGTCAAAATTGAGTTGTACATATTAATTGTTTTTAGAAAGGAAAGAATTTCCTTAAGATTGTCTACTTCAAAGCTGTATATATTATAGGTTGTCATCTGGAATTTCTGGGATTGTTCAAGTTTCGGCAGTAGACATCAAGGTATTTTATTGTCAAAGGTTCGCCACATGTTTGGCTCAATACTGGTTCCTCCTTCCTATAAGATGGTCGGGGGACTTCTATTCGGGACCCCTACTCGCAGTCTGCTGATAATGACTTCATTTGTAGTATTAAAATGATTGGAATATATTAATTAAGTCAGTGTATTAGATTTCGAGTTATACGAGTATTTCCTTAACTTTAGTGTTCCCTGAACGTCACTCTTCCAATTTCTATAAGTAAGAATAATTTTAGTGGGTTGTACTTTTTTCTATTAAGTCCTCTCTCGTTTGTATATGGATTACAAAAAAAAAATAATAATAACTTATCATAATTTTGAAATTGTTAGTGCGTAATATATATTATTATGATTTATCACCTTATTTTTAATTAAATTAAATACATTTTCGGAATGTATAATAGTTTACATTTTTAAATATCGCAATGTGTAACATTAAAATGCATCCGCATTCCGCAATTGTGTCTTTTTCTTATTTAAAAATATATAATATCTTTTGTTATGTTGAAACTTGACATTTTCTGCAATAGTGTTACGAAAACGATAAAACTTCCGCAATCGTGTTACATACAGTGCGTCAGTTGTAAATACTTCATAATATAAAATAAAGATTATTCACTATTCGGAAATTCCGACTTTCAAGGTACCCACCTACAATTATTATATTAATATACCGCAGCGGAAATAACGTTTGTACAATAATTATATATAAGTGCAGAGGATATTGTTTTCCTACTTACAATTATATGACGTAGGTACATGTGATATTATATTATAATGTCAGTGGATAAAAAACGAAAAGTCGCAAGTCCGTTTTTTTATCATTATAAATTATGATCGTTTTATGAGGCATTATGAATGTTAGTCAATTTTAGTAATCTAGAAAAAATGTGTATGTTCAATAATATTAACATCTTAAACCAATCATTTTGAATAATTTTTTAAAAATTTAATTTTTGTTTATTCTGATCCATAAAACGTGTTTTTTAGTGTTCAAAGTATAATATAGACTATTCATACTTTTTAATTTTTAAAAATATTTTAAATTGACTTAGGCATAATATAAAGCGCACACAATATAATATACAACGTAATGTGCGGACTTGTTATTTTTGTCAAAAACGAAACAACTAATTTCGTCCTTGTTTGAACGTTTCAAGCAAATTATATGTTTTACTATATCTAACACGTTTTTCATTTATATTGCATTGTGTACGTCAAATGAGACATTGTATTTTAAACTTGTTTAATAGTAATTAATATTTCTTTTATATCCATAACTTTTTAAAGTAAAAATATTAAAAATACTTGATGGGAAAAAGTAATTTCCACTTAACACAAAACTCTGTTTTCATAACAGAATTTTTATTATTTTTAATTTTCAATTGTTCTAATTTATCCACTAAATGAATAAAATTATGCAAAAAGACGAGTCTTAAAAAACAGCTCTTATGTAAAAATGTTAACATCAAATTGCTGTTAGCTACTTACAATATTGTTGGCTTTTTAGCTATGATGCAATCTTCTCCTGCAAAAATTCAGAAGTATTAGACAGACCGTTTATCCTACTCCGGAAAGTCACCAAAACGCGTATTAAATCAAATTAAAATATTTTAAATCTCACTTCTATGACGTCCCTTAGACTTTATACTATTATAAGGTTTGTGGTTGCCCCCGACTTACAAATGCGCAACATACCAAATTTAGGTTAAGCTGTTCTCATTTAGTTTTATTATTATTTTAATATTTGAGTGGATTTAGATACCTATAATTAAATTCAAAGGAAACAACACATTATTAAGCTGCAGTTTGTCAGGAGAGTTTTTTTGATATTTTAATATTTTGGACTGATTTATACATAGGTGCTTATAACTGGGTTCAAAATTAAAGTATCGAAAATACAATTCCAGTAAATAATGGAATTTGTTGTTAACTTTAATTTTGATAATAGGTAAGTTCACTCTCATATTGTACCACGAGCCAAAGCCCAAATGAAAACTGAAGAATGACAATGTGCCTTTACTTAACACTCTTGTAAGTTGTAAGACGGAAACAACATGTCTAGGTGAGATGTCTCACGCCCTGGGAACTGCAGTATACCCACCATACATGTATTCGATACATTTCCCTCTCTTTCTTGAAAATCTCGATTCTCTGTTTAAAATAAAATTGTACTCGGTTTCATTGTAGGTACACATCAGACATACGGATGATGGACAGATGGCTGGCGTGACAGACGAGCGTTGCCTGACCACCGCCACTTTATGGTTAAGTATTTATAAGTATATTATACTATTTCTTAATTGTTATACATTTAATTTTTAGTAACTGGCTTGAGCCCCATGTAACATGTACATTTTTTAATTTATCTATATTAGTACATAAAAATATTAATCGTAATTGTGAGGGAGTAGGTAGTTATTTCTGAGAGGAGTAGGGGTTTTCATTTGATAGCTGCATTGAGCGGTTGAGCGGTTCATTCACTAAATAGTTTGAGTAGTATAAAATGAGAAACTGCATTTGTTGACGAGTGTAACATAAAGGTACTCTGATGCTGATGAGTGAGAGGAGAGAAATATAATTGATTTTAAAGATGATGATACTTCAATGTTATATAATAATATACTACATCAATCTATGTATTTTACAATCAAATTTAAGAGTATCGAGTAGTAAGTATACTTTTAATATGGCAATAAATGTATTAGCATATATTAATATACCTTAGGAGTATTTTTTTTTATGTAAGACCCTTTAATTCAAACTGATTTTATTATTCATCTGATATCAAAATTACTAACAAAAAAATGTGTTCAAGCGAGTAACCACCAACCGCCCTGCTGCAGTGCAATTACTCTTCAAAAAATTATCTCCCTGTACACTGTTCTTTCATATAATATTATGTAGAATAAGATTTCATACGATTAACTAATATACCTACCAATGAATAATTTTTCCACATTTTTTTCAGAATAATTAAAATCAAAATAAGTGGTGTTAAAAAAAATGTACCTATAAATAAAAATATTATACCTAATTATGAAGACAAATTAGTTAGGGTTATTGATTTATTATAATTTATCAGTATTACCATTGATTATAACTACTAGTATTTCTCTCGTGACCGGAGTCTTAGTCCTCAATTCTTTCCACCCTAATTGTGCCACTGCGGTCACGGGTGCAACTATTGTCCGACCTCGAGCATCCTCGAAATATAATTTTTTTTTCATTTCATAATATTCGATAATAATTTTGTGGGACGTAACGTATGTAATGTCCTGCTGTCTATATTCTAGTAATATTATACTATTATGTATTCCGTCGTGTATGATATTATACCTCCGGGTACTTGCTGTAACTCCTGCAATAACGATTTATCAATATTCGCTCGAAAACGACGCTGTAGTCGGGCTAATGCAGTTTTATAGGTATGTGCTTGTAGTTGAGCGAGTGGAAAATAATAAATATTCACAAAGTGTATAAAATATAATATAGTTACATAACACTATATAAATCGCTATGATATTATCATGTATATTATGTACTGTGTATTTGTGCACAAGACCGCGATTGGACGCGACCGATCGAAGTGAATTATTAAACGGGAATCTGTTTCCGGCACCCGGCATAATTTAATGTCGAACCAGAAATTTAAAATAAAAAACCAGTCACTGTCGTCGGCCACTGCAGTCTGTGACCCCGCGCACGCACTTTCAACAGGACAATAATATGTACATAGAAATGTAAATAAATTGTTTATAACTTACCTGTTGCAGATTCGAAGCAACGATCTATCCGGTGGAGGTCGTCTGAGTGGTTGCGTTGATGGGCGGGAGTACGCGGCGACTGCTGTAAATTGTTCGCGACATAAAATTGCTGTAACCTATAATGATGTATAAATGTATAATATTATTTAAAATTGCTATACTGTAGCGATATTTTCGTAAACCAAAAAACTTATGTCTTTCTACAGGTTTTTACTTTTTTCAAGATTCTGTCAAAAGCTACATGCGCCGGAAGGTTATCCTCGGAAAATGAGCAAACATTCTCCATTCGAGTGCGCAGTTCATTTGTTTAGTGGCTTAGGTGGCGAATTCGAAGCTCTTCAGTCTTCATCTATTATGTCAAGGCCTATACAATTTAATTAACATATAATAATATAGTAAAAACGTGTTTGAGCTTGTCCGCACTTTGTAGAATAATATTAAGTAGGTGTATTCGATACTACTACGATAAAATCAAATTCCTAGTCAAAACGGGAGAGATGCCCGTATTGCTTCGGATTTTGGAGGGTATTATTATCACTGAAGCAACGTGAGTAGAAACTATAGCGGTCAATTTTAGGTCCCCTGCATGGGGTCTTCGGGGCCCACAGTATAGGAACTCGACTAATTTGGTGACCCGCTAATTAGAAATTATTTTTTACATTCTTAAACATACTTAATAAAATATTAACGTGTGATCAACAAAGTAAAGTAATCATACAAAAAAAGTAATTCTCTTCAAATGAAAATTTAATTTAATATTAGATTCAACAGAATACCTGAAAATGTATTAAATAGTTAGCCTCAAATTATTATCAATAAATAGTAAAAGAAATTAAAATAACACCAAGATTTTAAGAATCTGTATGATGAATCAAAAAAGGAAAAACGTTTTTTCGACAAAACACAAAAACAGAAACTTGTCAACAAATTAAAAATAAAAATTGTAATTTATTAACTACCCATAGCTAAATGTATGCAAATTCACGTTTTTTAAAGTTATATTTTATAGTATAATACAGTATTATTCAATAACATATTAGGTACATTATTACATTATAGTATATCGAAGTGTAGATTCGGCCGATCCGGGTAAAAAGTGTAGTATATAGAGGCCCAAAATTTGATGTGAGGAGCCTGGTCATTCTATATTATATTATCACGATTGTAAAACAATATCGACTATCATATTATATAGTTTATTAAAAACGTGTCTAGAGCATGTAAGCGTAATTTAGGAGACATTATGTCTATTAAGTACCCCCAGTTTGGAGCACAACAATCACCCTCATAATTTATGAAATTATTATAGTTAATTATTACTTATAGTTCTGATCTTATATTATAATCAACTAATGTGTACAGAACAAAATATATTATATATTATATATATTTGCATAATATGGATATTTTATGGGAGGGGGGGACTAAGTTGTTCATTGTGTAATCCACGGTTATAAGACCAACTAAAAAAATAATGAGTCTTCGTTCTCTAATTTTTATAGTTGCACCCATGGTCGAGTGATTTACGAACTGTTAAAAGTGAACGCGGACCGGATTTAGTCATCGTATAACAAAAATATCGTCCTTTTTACGATGACAAAGTACCTGTATGTAGTAGAAGCAGTATAACAATTTATAATTTGTAATTTATTATAGTTCAAGGGACAAGCAGCCCTTTTTATACATTATGAAAACAAACAACATAATATTTAAAGATAAACAAAATAATATTAAAATAATGCAAATTAACAATTAAAAAAAAAAATTAATTAAAAGTATGTATACATTTATGAATGTCCTCATTGGCCGATTTCATCATACGCAAGATATAGGCTTGTTTTTAAATAATTAGTTGCACACAAACATGAAATGGAGTGAACACTATAGGAGCCTTGAAATTTACCTTTGGTAATAGGTCCGGAGCATTCACCATACCACTAATGAGTTTAGATAGGAATAATAAGTTAGCTTGGATTCCTCTGTTACTGAATGTACCTACTTAAATTTAGGCGTTTTAATGCCGGCGTGTAGTCGTGCGAAGAGCACATTTAAAAGCAAACCACTTTCGAAAAATTTAAGGTGACAACTATCATCACTATATAATATATTCCAAATATATTATGTCCACATTTCACTATGCACCCATGTCTTACAATCGGCGGCGTAAATGATAACCTGAACAATAAATGCTTTTAGTCAGCTTTTTAAAATTGTTTGATTCCTCGGGATCGGACTGCCTCCATAACAGTATACAATTTGTGCTGTTCGGTCTTACGCTAGGCCATTAAAAAATCAGTTGATTTTTAGCCGACAAAAATTCGTAATTTGAAATAATTGTTATGACATTGACATCAACTCTCAAGCATAGGTAGTTGTAAATATTTATAGTTATCATATTAGCTGTAATATCAATATATTTTACCAGAAAATATAAGACATTATTTAGTATCTTCGACAACTGCAAGATCTGCTGCAGTCGGTGCATAGCTGCAGCGCCAGTGTACTGCGTCATGAATTTATTGTCGGCGACACAACCGGCCACGACAACGAACAAAAGTTTAACAATAACGAATAACTGTAATATAATTGTAGATATATAATACTGAAGACATATTATATTGTACCTTAACTACGTGTATTATCATTATACACGTAATAATAGTATTATAATATAATGTAGAAGGAAGTTTTTCGGGGTTCTTTGACACGCGGTCGCCGACGCCGCCACGATGCACAAATAATCATTAACAGAGTATATTATAAAATACCCGGTTCCTTGGCACCCTCACCCTCACCCACCCTTAAGTAACCAACCACCGCCATATCCGGTCGGCCGACGAACGCGTCGTACGCACACTATCGCCGAACGCCGGCGAGACACGCGATCCGCCGCGGCCGTCGCCCTACCATCAATTGCCGCTATTATTCTCACTCGAAATGTATAAGTTTCTTTTTATTAATTTTTTCGAATTTCAACGTTGTTCCGGGCAAAATTTTCAGCGGTTTGCCGTCGTTGTGCTTGTTACGGGCCATTATCCAACGTTCTAACATTCGACTTAGTCGTTTATTACACAGACTGATTCATCAAGCAGCCTCACGACTTTTTTACTCTCGAACAATGCAGTTATTCGAAATCTGAATTTTGACATTTTTAAATATACTTTAGGGCCATATTTTCAAATGTCGTGGTTAAACAAACAAATAGTTCAATCAATAGTTCAACTGTAAAATATTCAGCTGATTATTTTTCGGAAAATGTTGTCCGCGGTGGTATATATCTGCTATTTTGCTATTTTCTAAACGTTGTACCTAACTTTGATATTTGGAAAACAAAATAATATAGTGTTACTCCAGCCTATAAATCTGCGGGGCATCGGTCAGTAGCGACAAAATTCAGGCTGATTTCTGGTCACTCGTTTTAATAGGTTTCATTTTTGAACTCGAATAAAGTGAAACATGTAGCCTTTAATCAACTAAATCGATTGATCAACGATCAATATGGTTTCATTCAAACGTGTTCTATATTGTTTACCGTTTATATTCATGATTCTATCGTAGCAAATTATCAGATAAGTAAATGATATTTTTAATTTAATTAATTTAATTCATGGTTGATTGCTCTCGTCGTTTTATTCGTATTCAATAAATATATTTATTATTTTGTTGAACACATTGGTCAATCTTCTTATTGTTTTCTAATTAAATCTAGTGGACCTCAAAGGGTTGAAATGCCCCCTACTATTTAATAATTTAATAAACATATTATTTTATTCGCTTTTTTTTCTTGTAATATTTTACTATTCACTGATAAAATTGCAATCTACAGCAAATCGTATCGATAATATTATTTTACGAGAGGCTCTTTATACATTTAAAATTTGTAGTTTAGTGTCATGAGATCGGTTTACGTTTAAATTTTGATAATTCATACGTCATTTTATCAAACTGGCAGTTTTATCAATGATTATCATTTGGATAACTTATTGATGTCTCCAGTGCCGTATCTATGAAGGGGATTTGGGGTTGGGGTCAATTCCCCCCTCCCCCCGGATATCAGATTGTATACAAAATACAACGTGTGTATTATAATAATATGAATATAAGTGTGTATTGAATATGTCTATTAATCTTAATACTACCCTACCTCCATGAAAAAATCTCGAGGTCTTGCGAGACTATTGTCAAGTATTTAGTGTTGTATACTGGCCCAATCTTAGATTTTCGTTCGCATATTGACCCCATGATTACCAGAGCAATGCCTGCTCTCAGATGTATCCGTAATAATGCAACTAACTGAAATTCTTTGTTTTGTTGAATGACATTATTTAGTACGTTTTTTGGTGAATATGGTTCATTAATATGATCGAAAAGAGATATTATGTTATATTGTATCTAAAATCCTTTTATTAATTTTACTTCAGATTTTGAGAATCTTAATCATCACAACGACTTGACTCTGGCTGGGCATTGAAGTGGGTGACATAAGACTCAGTCAGGTTGTTGAGATATGGTTTTATTATGCATTGTACGAAAGAACAAGCACGCCGAGTTGACACGGGGATTACGAATGGTGACATTCAAAGTGGGTTGATGTAGTACCTTTTGAAGTTTTGACGACCCTGATCTTAGTCTTGCGGTGTTGTACCTAAAGTAAGTATATATAATACTATCTTCGATTAAACCCATGTATAACATCCACATTGTTGCCGTTTGAGCTGTAATGGAAGATAGATGAATGGTTTCCGATAGCCAAAAAATAAATTTAAATAATTTTTTGAATTCATTGGTTAAATAATTTGAAATTTAATCATCTTCCTCCTCCTCATTGTGTTTGTCCTCGTGTATATATATATATATATTATATACTAATGACGTACAATAATAACGTGCCTACTACCCATCCGAAACCACCCCTAAGCACACTGACATTTACTCATACCACACACGGAATGTTTGATTCGAATGCACTAATTTTTAAATAATAATAATTTTTTATTTATTTCTATATTCACCTCATCACATTTTGTTTATTCTCGTTAATATATAATGTAAGAATATCATATCGTTCTCAGGAATAGTATAAATCACTTGACAACTAACGCATACTGCTAAAATAAAAAAAATAATATTTATTCAAAATTTGATTTTAATATAAATAAAATTAGAAACTTTTTTTTGGAACAACAATGAACTTATTATAATTACTAGTATTCTTTGAAAATCACAAGAAACTATAACAAAAACAGATGAATAAACCATATCACCCTGTATATACATATTACATTATACATAAACACATACACGCCATAATATTA